GCCCCCTTCTCTCTCCTCCTCCTGCTCTCTCTCCCTTATTGCACGTTGTCGCCCCGCCTCCCTGCCACTCCTGCCCTCTCTCTCCTCTCCCTCTCCCCACCGGCCCGCCTCCGTCGCCGCCGCCCTTTTTCTCCATATCTCCAACCGCCCTCCTCCTTCATACCAATCGCTTCTTCTTGCTCCACCACCATCTTAAAAAAGTATGCAAATTTTGATTTTTTTTATTTTATTGTTGTAATTTTTTATCTTGTTTGGTGCTTTGTGGATTGTATACAATATAATTAGATATTAAATGTTGTAATAATATATAGTTGTATGGTTATGAGTTATCTTTGGTTGCAATTGTATAATTTAACTAGAGATTTACTAACGTTACAATTTTGTTTTGGAAGGAAAATTACATGATAATGCATTTAGTTTGACAACCCTAATTTATGATAAAAAAATAAACGATCGGTATGAATATTTAAGTTTGTAATGTGAAAATATGTGAAATAAAAATTTTTAATAAATAGAGTTTGAAAACCCTGTGCAAGGTTGAAGTTTTTGATTAATTGATTCCATTGATTGACCACTAAAATTTATTGTTCTTTATGCTCTAATTATTATTTTCTGTTTATCTTATCCTCTCTTTTCAGCTCTCTATGTATAACAAAACTAGAAACAAAGGTTTAGTGTTCATCACTATGGCACCAGAAGAAGAGGCAACTATGGCCCTCGCTAACCTCAATTCCTACTTGAGTGTTCAACGTCTTGAACTGCTGTTTGTTTACACTAAAGTAAAATTATGTAAATTTGATTATGGGTTAACATTTGGTGATATAGGATATGAATGGTCGAAACATAAAGATTGAATACGCTAGACCAAAGAAAAATCCTCGTGCTGAAGTAGAAGCTTCAACAAAAAAGTATACTGTTTATGTAGGAAACTTGGCTTATAGGGTAAGCTCTCAAGATCATCAGGAGCTCTTTGATAGCGATGGCAAAGTTATCTCTGCTGAAGTCATTTATCAGAGCAAACCAAGAAGACCTGCAGGTTATGGATTTGTCTCCTTTGCTTCTAATGATGAAGCAAAGAATGCAATATCTGATCTTAATGGCAAGGTAAAAATGGGATAATTTTTGTGAATCTTTTGTACCCCCGTTATTTTCATTATGGTTATCCTTGATACTAGTCTGACTAGAATTTTTTTTTTAATACTGCAGGGATTTGTGGGGAGACCACTAAGGCTGGGACTAAGTAAACTACAAACTGAAGATATTGGAAAGATTATGGATGAGGACCTTGTGGGATCCAGTAAGGCATCAAATGAGATGAATACAAATGAAGAACTATCAAACTAATCAATCTGAAGACTCAACAAATGAGGCAAAGTATGGGCTTCTAAACTTTCAAGTTGTATATAATCATTTTCCTCTTGAGCTTTTCTTGTATCATGTGATATTCAGAATATAGTGTCACTTTTTTTAACCAATACTTACTTATTTTATGTGTATACATGTCTATTGTATTTATGTTTAATGAGTGGAAATGTTCAATTCTACTAAAATGTGTAACTAGTACACGAAGTAATCATGGTGCAGCAGCAATAGAATATTTATCACAAGGTATGATACATGGAACACTTTTCTTGGCAACAAAATGGTGTATCCTATAAAATTAGACATGATACGTGTGTACATCCTTGCATAAATTTGTGAAGTGCTATTTGGCTTAAAAATTATATATAAGATGGAGTATGTTGTTCCCTCAAAAAAAATGATATGTGTGTACACATGCAAACATGTGAGGAAAATGGTCGAGATCTTTTTGTTATTGTCTTTGTTATCTAAAACTATACCTTTGTTATTTGTTCTAATTCAGGTATAACGACATTGCTAAGCATGCTTTTGATGCTTTGAAAAGATTAGGACTTTCTGATACCCAAGGACCTATCACAAAAGATTCATCAGATCCACAGAGTACAGGAAGACCAGGTGGATTTGAGGGGTGAGTTCAGTGTTAGCTGGTTGTTTTGAAGTTATTGAGTACTATTAAACCAAATTAAAGAAGTTAGATACTTGTCACGTTACCTAAAGTACCTCCATGCTTTCATCCTGAACAGGGTCATTCTTGGAATTGGCGAGCTGGTTTACTCAATCCTTTTATTGACAATTTTCTTCATAGAGGTGCAGTGGTGCGATTTTTTCTGCTTAAGGATTACATGTGTTCTATGATATCTATGCTTTCGTTTTATGTACATGTTTATGAAGAATTTTGTTTCACATTGACATGTTGAAATAGTTTATCAACCTTTTCTTTGAATGATTATTGAGTATAATACTGCTTTGTCTCTACTTCTCTTCACATCTGTAAATTTACCTTTCTCATGGCTTTCGCGAACTCTTTCATTGTATAAACCTTTACTGTGTGAAAATTAGTTATTGTCTATGTAAATAATTTATGTTTCGCTCTAGTGTTTTGGTGAATGTATTATTTGAATATAATTGTATTTGATATTAAAATATAATTAGATTGTGTTGGATATGAACATAATTTGGCGTTGTGCAATATTGTGTTGGATATGTACATATGATATTATATAATGTGCAACATAGATTCTACAAAAAAAATAAAAAAGTTACTGTAGCATTCCGTCTAGGTTGCCAACCTAGACGGAATTCCATCTTGGATGCCAACCTAGACGGTTATGGTGATTCCGTCTAGGTTGTTCTCCGTCTAGGTTGGTCAACCTAGATGGATTTCCGTCTAGTTTGCTCCAACCTAGACGGAATCAGACTAGACGGAGAAACCTAAACGGAAATCCGTCTAGGTTGATCAACCTAGACGGGAAATGGAGCAACCTAGACGGAAAATTCCTTCTAGGTTGCTCATTTTTCTACTAGCGAAAAAAGACGGGTTTCCTCAAGCAAGAAAAACATGCAAACAATTGATTTGGCACAATAATATTTACTCGACGACGAAACAAAACAAAGACACGGAGGATCCTTCACTAGTTGACATCAGATTTCATCAACAAAGGGTAAGAACAGATCTCATAAACGCATAAAAGATGAGTTCTGCACAAACCGATGTTTAGAGTACATGGGAGAATGATAGCCACTGGGCACACAGTAACATAAACTAAAAGCTTTACTTTACTGCACTATTACAATCAACTAATGAACTTTACAGAGGGAAAATTTGTGTCTTTCTTGAGGCAACTTGCCCCTGTTTTAATAAAACGAACTCGGTACAATTTAGGAATGACCGAAATCTTCTACTTAGCTACCAAGTACAACATGACAGACCATCATATGAAAATAAAGCTTTCGAGCCATTAAAGCTACCATAAATTTTGGCCCACGGCAAAGTTTTTTATGGTTGTAGTTGGATAAGCTTAAATTGCAAGACCATTGAAATAGTTTTCCCTACCCACTGTCTGGCCTTCTCGGACTATGGAAATCCCTCATATTTTCCATGTTTATTTGCCAACTATGTTACCCGGGTACTTCATTATTGAATCCGTACCCGTACTGGACACATACCCATACCGGACACGTATCTGACACTTTCCCGTACCCAAACTTCATGGACACTTCTTGAATATATGCATGCATTTATTACAGCATGTACTCAATTAGACAATATGTGTTAATTTAAAACACTTGTCAAAGACGTCCGGGACATAGAGCTTACACTTCACATCCATCTTTTGAAACTAATGGGATACGGGTCGGGTTCGTTTCAGTCCATACCTATATATATATATATATATATGTGTAGTCGTGTCCTCGTACCCAACATTTTACAGTTTTTCCGTGTCCCCTAACCGTACCCGCACCCGTACCAGTACCCGTGCCCGTTTCCATGCAACTTAGTTTGCCAAGAACCACAATGTCCACGACTTTAGTGGACTCCTTTCATGCTGACAACTAGATGTAAAATTTTGCCAAGATTTCCTTCATACTTTGTACCCAATCTCATTTTGAGGGGAAAGGGCTAATATCATGAATATGATTTCTAGATTCTGTTTGGCAACTACAAAAAAATTGAGCTAGGTCTGGTTTTTCTTTAACCAGGCCAAAGTTGGTCCAATGTGGGGTGGGTACTTGGTCCAAAAGGAAACTGGTTTAAAGGGCCAGAATTTGAACTTTAAAAAGTGGTTAGATCGTGGGCAATATTTTACCAAACTAAGAAGTAGATTCGGGCCCAAGATTGTATCCACTCAAACTAGTTTTATGGAGTCACCAAACACAGCCTTAGAAACTCCAGCGTACGACCATGTTTAGTAGTTTGGTCAAAATACCTATTAAACAGTAGATCAAACTTTTAACCTCACATCCACATGCAGAAAGTCTAGAGTACGAGTGATCATATATATTAGTTTCTTATTTTAACAAACTTAATGAAAGCTCTACTATAGAATCTAAAGCATAAATGCATAATCACACTTACTTGCTCGGTTAAAGCTTTATTTTTATCTCTTTCATTCTGCAATTCATGCAACATCGTCTCTTCCAATCTCTTTAGCCTACAAAAGTTGTGAACATACAACAATAAGGAATTAACTTCTAATTAGATCAAGTAATCAATAGAAACTAATGCTTTCATGTAAGTGGTATGGTCACCTGTTTTTCAATGATGTATTTTCATTTGTTAACTGTTGGATAGAGTTATGTCCATTGCTAACATCAGCTTCCTGCTACATGGGAAAATGGTAAGATAACCTACCTTATGGAAGATAGAATTGATATTGTTCTAAATTTTACAAAAAACATCTCTAATTGACAGCCACAAAAAAGATAGGATAGGCATGATAGATCATATATGATATAACTATTCAAGCAAATGCATAGCTAGGCCCATTTAAGAATAATCCTGAAACTGACCTCTGTAAGTTTGCTCAAGAACTAAAAATAAAGTGAAATTATCTCTTCTACTCCTAGATCCAATTCCGTGATTTTTTAAGACTTGGGGATATTATCAAACTGGCAATATAGTAAAAAGGGTTAACTGATCCCAGGGATACATGCCTGGTGCCTAAACTGCCCATTGCTCAGACTGGTCATAGCTAGTAACCAAGCTTGATATTAGGCTTGAAACCAATGTTTAGAGAACTTATCTTACTGTTACTCTGTCTTTGGAGTTCCAATATCTTCAGAGGAAGCTGGTCAGCAGACATATGCCCCATTAGGCTGCAAACCTGATTATTGATGCTAATAATGCAGAGTCTTGTTTCAAGTTATTTTAAAGACTAATCTAAAAAAATTATAAGAGACTATAAAGATAGATACAATTTCACAAGGCTGATAGATAGAAAAGAAAGAAAGTGATGAAAATGAAGGCTATCAAATCCTTGAACAGGATTAACAATAAGGAAACAACTCCCAATATGGAAGCTCCGAATGTGGATGAGCAAGGCTCTTTCAGATGAACTATATCATCATTTCAGTTTGTCCTTTTCTTCAGGGTAATGGCAGAAGATCCTAAACCAACTCCCTCTATTATAAGGAGGAACTTATTCTGTTTTTACACTTCACATGCCTTGAAATCATTATCGTTTTGAATGTGTGATCTCCAAATTCTTAAAGTTTCAAATTCTAGTCTGAGCAAATATATGCAAAACATACAAATTTATACTTTCTACACCATTTGATTCTTGAGCTTCCTTTTGGTGACCAAAGAGAAAGTATAACTGATTTTTTTAAAGGAACATAGCGCAACAACATATGATTTAGCATGGTCTAGCATAACTTTTTATTAATGCCAATAAGATCCAAATATTTCAAATCTAAAAGAAAATCAGCTCATGAAGATAACAGCATAAAACAACTTGAATAAGGAATACAAAATTACCTTCGAGTTCGATTTTGCAGCTAAAGGTTGGGTTCTTACACCTCCAAATGAAGCAGCTTTGTCATTAGAGCTATATCCACCTTTTCCAGTTCCATTCAAACCTCTAGTGACACAGCTCTCTGCCATCTTATGGCTCGAATGAAAGGAAGACGTGCTAGACTTTTGTTGCCCAGAAAAAACATGTGCAGAGAATGTACGCTTTGGAAGGCCTTTTGTAGAAGAATGAGGAGCTTCGGGTGAGCCATCTGACAAACATTATGAAGGAGAAAATTACATAAATGTTTTGTAAGTTTAAAAAAAGAACTCAGATGGAAGGGTAGTGATATTGCAGGTCACCCTACATTACATTTCAGATATATACATACCTTTATCTTCAGAGCCATTAATAAGTTTCTTGTTACGCCTTGGAGCATAGCCAATTTTATGACAGTTTGTTGTCCTACATAAATAATATACATTTATGGTGTAAAAAATCCATAAAGATCTAATGTTAAAATAGTAAGGTTACCATTACAGACCAGTATGTTTTCTGCATCTGAAGAAGACGTGCTTCAAGTCTTGAAAGCACAGTTGTGCGCTCAAAACCCTGTTTATCATGAGCTGGTTCAACAAAATTTGCTTCCAATACACCTACAATAGAAAAGCATTAGCCAAGGTTCTGCATAAAAAGACCACATATAGCACAGTATTGAACTACATACCAATAACACCACGGCCATCACTTCCAGCAGCATTCCACACTCTCCAAAAAGGCTGGAAAGGGAACATATAAATTTCAGCGAAACATGCATGTATTTAATGAAAGTTTGTTTACAAATTGATGCACTGCATGCAGTTACCCTCAAGTAGCTCATTATGTTAGAAACAACACAGGAAATTCTTCTGAACATCAAATTGATTGTATCAAGTACATACCAGTAAATTGAAAAGAAAGAAACAAACACTTCTGCAAACCATTTCCTTTTCTGCATATTCTAGAAGTTGTATCCACCTTAAACAATTAACTAGTCAATCCACAACCAAAGATTACACTCATCCCCTCATGCACAACTAAATAGTCAAACCTGTTAGGTAAATCTAAGCAAAACAGTACATGCATGATATGCTTGTAGTTTGCAAATGCATAGGGAACATTCCAGATGCCAAAGTAAGAACTTTCTGATGTTAAATAACAACAGTTCGTGCTCAATGAAATGGTTAATCTCTCGGTTTAGAGGACCTCGGTACTCTTTAAGTTCTTAGTGTGTTATTCACACCAATATGTTCATATTTATTGTGTAAGAATGCAAGAGATGAACAAGGTCAATTGATGCCAATATTATTATCATTATCCTTCGATATTTATCAATCCCACAAAAACATTATTCATACAGTTGCATAAAATTCTTATCCCAGATTCAAATTCATATTAAAAAAAGAAGCTATAACAAATACAAAGCATTTGGCTATAGCAAGATTAAAGCAACATACCTTTATCAGCCGGTTCTTGTGATAGACGTTAAATCCTTGAACATCAATATGATCTTTAGCATCCTTCACGAAGCCAATTGCCACAACAGCAACCATCTAAATAGGACACGTGCAATAGAACACAGGTTCAGGAAACAGAATGCAATTAACTATTAAATAATACAAGTGACATAGGTGCAGTACACTTGGATCCTTCGGAACCCCATCTGGACCCGGTTGAGGTCGATAAGTGACCTCTTGCTTCATCATCATGTCATTTACGATGTTATGGTGTTCAATTTTTTCCCCCCGGAGAATCATTTTAAAGCCACGAGGCAGTCGTAGATAAAGAATTGATGCATAACTCTGTATAGACAGTGGGAAAGCAAAATAATATCAGAAAACCATGTGTGTTTCACTTTCATACCAACAAGAATAAAGGAGATATATTCAGCTGCATAAATTATCTATGGCCAACTGAAAATCTATGCAAGAGTAACTGAACAAAGACCAATTAAACAAATGCCCATGTTTGACAGCCAAAACAAAAAGTTAGGATATAAACATTAGACTCTAAACTAACTAGAATTGTGCCACGAAAATGAAAAATATTGAATATAAACGTTGTGAAAGAAATAAGCATCGAATGTAGTTGATAGAAAAATGAGTGAACACTTAGCGACTTAGGATCAATCACTCATCATAATGGGAGATCGAGGAGGATACAGTTAATAGTTATATCTCAATAACTCAAACCACTCAAGCAGCCTATGTTTACCCTAAGAATAAAAGTAGAGATATTTTTACATATTTTCTACTGAAATCACAACTTTTCTACAAAATTATTAACAAATACCATCAAATATTCTTTAAAATGTTTTTTCACAGCGTCTTCACATGGTTGCCACAGGCTGATAAGGATATAAGACCAGAATTGTCAACAAGTGGGAAAACAATAGTGGAGATACAAAATACAACTTTTAAAAAAGTAGATGGAAGAAAGATGTCATCTATTAACAGAATAACAAAGAAATCCTGGTTTACCCTTAAAGAATGCCGATAAGTAAGAAAATGCCTCGAATTTGGACATTGTCTCGCCATTTGAATTTTTTTCTCATCACGGTTAGCACCTCTGACCTGAATGTCCTGCACAAGTATCATCAGTCAACTGTTAGAAGAACTACATGCATTGACCAGAAAAATAAAAAGACAAACACAATAACGAGTTTTCTAACGGGTGCCCATGGGCACTTGTTAGAGGATGAGAGAGAGAGAAATGAATAGCAAGTGGGTCCCCCTAATTTGTGCTAATATCTCTCCTATCTCCTCTCTCTATCTCTCTCATCCCTTAATGAGTGCGCCCAGGGGAACCCGTTAAAAAAAACCTGCACAATTAATATTGGCAGGATATAAAAAGGAAATTACAATAGTAAATGAGCATAGAAAAGACCAAAACATACATGCTGGTCAGTATCAAAATCAAGTTCCAGCTCTCCTTGGTCATCATCCCATAAATTATATATAACTATCCGCGTTCCTTGATCAGTCATAAAGTTAAACTGCGAAAAAGATAGTGAAGATGATGTCAAAACATGCCATATGACTTTGCAATAGTCTAAATTGTGCCTCTGCATAACAGAATAAACACAAAAGATGTAAGAAAAACCAACAACAACAAAGCGTTTATCCGAAATTTTTGTGCGGCTACATGAATTCTATTCTTCCAGTTCCGTCAAGGGCTATCTACTCCGTTAAGTTAACACACATATGCGCGCTCATAAAGTCATAAGAGTAATTAGTTATGTAGTCTGAAGTTCTTCCACAAGAAAAATACACTACCTGTTATCAATTGTGTTATTTCATAAAGACACGTGGGCATAAAGATGAAACTGCATCAAACTTACATTTTACTGTATAATTTGTTAGGTTTTAGTAATAAAGTGTACTATTCATTCAAAAATTAAAGTATACTAGTGGAAGATGCCATTCAACGACCAATCTAAATCCTATCCAAAAGTTGACATTTCATGCACGCATAGAAACTTCGTGCAGTTTGAAGCAGGTATGCTATCTGTTAATCTATTACCTTTGTTCTAACATCCAATATGTAAAGTCAAAGATGCAAACAGAAAACTTGTGCTCTCCTAATCTTGTGCATAAATAAATCCTTGCGTGCAAAGACATGAAGGAAAGGTTTGAGAATGAAGAAAGAATGAAAAGCAAACTACAAGTGATTCCTATTAAAACATAGGAATAGAAATGCTTTGGTGCCATAAATACAGAAAGCATACAGAAGCAGAAGAAGCTGGTGATTTATAAGGAGTAAATATACAACACTCCAGCTACCCGATCAAAGAAATTAGAATTCACCTGTTGAAGTAGATCATCTTCACTACAATATGGAGACCATTGTAGAATAATTTCCAAATTATTTTTCCAAACATCTGAAGACGATCGTGTCATCTTAGCCCAAACTTCTCCTTCTTTCACATAATCAATCTGTAAAACAGAAGCAATAGATCCAAATTAACCAATTTCCTCATAGAGAAGGGCTAAGGCCAAGTGAAGTACAACTGCTAACAGAAATGTATATGAGATCAAACTAGCAGAGAATTGATGTAACTAAAGACAAGTATGGTACAGCAAGAGCAATAGGAAGGAAGATGTATGTAATCTCTGTTATCATTAGATTTACATTAAAGGTCAACATCAACACTCTATCTCTTCAGTATATCTATAGATGAACTCAATGGGCATGTTAAGATAAGATTCTTTTTTGATAGTCTTCTAATAGTTGAAGGTAAACAAAATAATTTCAGAAAAAGATAATGCAAGCAGGATTTGAAAGCAACCTCTGCACGCGAGTAAAGAACATTAACAAGGGAGTACTTTGCATTATTGACCACCTACGTGTTATCATTTTCTCTTCCTGTGAACTTCATTCATATAGAGAAAGGACATTGTTTCTCACAGAACCAGCACAGTAAAGTTCCATAGAGGTTGTTTGACTTTCATTTTTTTTATTCTACAAGATGACTATGAGACCAACTACATTGTACATGTCAGATGTCGGTAATCAACAATGTGTAGTTGAAATAAGAACTTGGAGATGAATAGGTGGCAAAAAGTTATATTAAGACAGAACAAGAAATGATTTCTATCATACCAAAAAACAGAGATAGCTTCAATAGACAATACAATGAAGGAGAAGATTCATTTAAGATGATTAAAACAAGTACAGTGAAGACAGATAAGTGTGCCTATTAACTTGATCAATAATAAGTTCATGGATCAAAGAGGATATAGATTGAGTCGGTAAAAAAGTAATGTTAAAATTAATAGCGGAGATGATGCTTAAACAGATTGTATGGGGAAAAGAATTCAATTAGGCAACCGCAAAATTACTCCTAAGTGTCACCAATACACTCTTATCTATGTCACGATCAAATATAGTTCCCCATCATAACCCCATCAAATATAGGAAATGAAATATGCCAGCATGAAGTGATGATGGTTCAACAGAAAATATATAATACATATGGAAGGAAATTGGATAAGGGGCTGTTTGGTTGGTTTCCTAAAAACCAAGAAAAGGAAATCGGTACAAGGAAATCAATAAATTAATATTTTTATCCATTTTCATCCCTAAAACTCACCCACAACATCCAATAAAATATTATTTTTATCCTCCAACTCATCTCATTTCATCTTCTTTCTTACCTTTAAAAATAAACCAAACACAAGAAATGTGCCACATCATCCAACTCATCACATCTCATCTTATCTCATTTTTAAAAATCACACACATCACCCAATAATATTGTGATAACTCATCTCATCTCATTAAACCTTCCTTTCCATCCATTTCCTCAAAAAAATTAAGAAATTGATTTCCTTAAGTATGTGTCACATCATCCAATAATATACATCCAACTCATCTCATCTCATCTATTTTCTTATTTTTAAAAATGAACCAAACACAAACAACCTCAAAACATCATCCAATAATATACCTCCAATTCATTTCCTTATTTTTTTAACCAACCAAACAGCCTCAAAACAAGTTTTTTTAAAAAATCACTCACATCATCCAATAATAAGGTGACAACTCATCTCATCTCATCTCCTATTCTATAATTTCCTTCTTTTTTAAGCCAACCAAACAACCTCAAAACAATTATTATAGGAAATAGGTTTCCTATTCTTTGATTTCCCAAATTTTTTTGCCAAACGAACAGCCCCTAAATCGATGTGGTGCCAGACTACAACTCTAGGTTGCATGGATACGGGTACCAGTATGAATAGTGGTACCGGACACAGTAAATTTATAAAAGGTAGGGTGGGGGGACATGGCTATATAAATATTTATATACACATATGTTACATTATTGAAATTAATAATCTATATGAGAAAAATTCTTACAACATTTTAAAGTTTCTTTTATCACGTGGATTATAAGTTGGAAAATCACTAGTTTTTGAACTAGACATTCAAACGACCTTTATATTAATTCGGAATCTGACCTATGTTCAACGAGTTCCAAGAAGTGGGTGTGAAGTTTAGGATACATGTTCAAAAAATGTATGACAAGCATTTTAAATTAAAACATGTATTGTGTAATCGAGTACATGCCCGAATAACATGTATGCATATGTGCAAGGAGTGTCCAAGGAGTTTGGGTACAGTTACCGCTACGTGTTGGGTACGCATACGACTTCAAATTACAAATACCCAGGTAACATAGCTACTAGTCATGTGAACACAAAAGGAAAAAAATAAATCATAATTTCATAGAAGTTGTTACCAACACAGTACATTCAGGAGATTTCAGAAATAAATGAGTAAATAGGATTCTTGCTATCATAAATGTTCCATCAAGGGATCTTATGGCACTTCATGTTTTCTTAGAAATTGAACAATATACTTCAGTTCTAGCAATTAAATGATATAAATAAATTTGTGTAGTTAAGAAAATGGAAGGTATTGTATCTTCCCAAATAATGCTGATATCATGAAATGCTTACCATAGGCACTACAATATCTTCTTTTCCTGTATTTCTCAAAAAGGTGTAGGACAGCAAACCAATGCTCCGTGTGGAGCTGAAAACAAAACACATAAAAATTAGCTTCTTTAAAGAATGAACAACCAGGTAATTGTATCATACTTTCATAAAATACAAAGTGGAAAAACACTGCATTCCACCCACAGGCAAGAAAAAATATAAATCGGCTTATTAAGGAATGTAATAAAAAGAGTCATTTCAAAACTGATGTACAAGAATGTGTTTAATTAAATTGAAGTCATAATTCAACAGCAACTGAACTTTAGACCAAGACCAAAAAAAACCAATAACCTTCTGCCTTCTTTTTCACGACAACAAGAAAACACAATGACATCTGCGCCAAGTCTCATAGTACTTGTCTTGAAGCCATTTCCATCTAGCACATGGAATAACACAAAAGAAATCAAGAATGCAATTGACAGAAGCAAGAAAACAACTTTGTGATGTAAAGAAAAAGACTTACATTGACCAATAGTATTTGCTGATTTACTCTTTGCTGAATAACCCAGAGACATGCATTGCCGCAATCTATCCGGATCCATGCCACCGCCATTATCTGCATAGAGAAAGTTGCAGGGTGAACTGTCCTCATATAGTTTAATTCTCCTCCGCCGGCCAAAAAAAGACATTTAAAAATGTAATGCAAGGATTTGAGGATGATTAAAGGTTTTCCACGATTCCTCTATTACAGTTATGTTCCCAAAGATCAGACACAGAATAGCACATCCTTTAGCAGTCAGTCATCTCTAATTGCAATATCTAGGAACCTCTAATGAATGAAAATCTAGAAATATGAATATTTTATTTTCAGGAATAGAAGAAAAATAATCAATATGTTCGCATGCAATAGAAAGTTTAATTTACCACCACATATATTGAACTTCTACACAATGTTGCATGATCATTTATCCTCATCTATGCGCTCGTTATAACTTCACAAAATTTATTATGCATGTACATAAATGAATGAAACAAGCCCCTAACAGCCACCATTCACCGCTAATCTTCACACTAACTAGATTAGAGTATCTCCTTTGCCAATGATGGAAATGACAAGGACCAAAACTACACCAAAGACAATCCAACAGACATGCAAGAAAATCTCATTCAACTCTTAGTTTGTAACTTGTTCCTCAAAAAAGAAAAGAAAACTATAGAATTAAGATATAAAGGAAACAAATTAAAACTGAAAGGTTAACATATCATTCGTGCATAGAAATGTCTCGGTAATGAGTAACTACCATTAACCAAACAATGATTAGTTTTAGTGGACAGTTTTGCATACAACGCTAAGTAACTTGCCTGCACTAAATTATCAGAACAGTTCCCATTGAAAAAAACTCCTTAATATCCTTTTCATCAAAAACAATGCTTTGAATTCTCATTTCATTCAGTTCATTTGCACTGCATATAATATTATTTGGATAAATTTCACAAACCCTGGGTTTTTAATTTGTCATCAATGTTTGACCTATACCTAATGATAAAATGATTCAAAATTACCAGCATCAAGAGGATGAAGGCCTCAATTCCAAAAATAGCCCCTGAACTTAATGCCACTTTGTGCATTGGCTTTAAACTATTTAAGATGTGTCTCATATAAGGAGTGATGAGGAGAAGCTTGACACGTATAACAACAAATAAAGCAGAGATAAGGTGAGTATGCATGATGATAATTGTAAGAAAAAATTTAAAATGCTTATATTTAAATCTCAATAATTTTTATCATGGCAACACCAAAATAACTGAAAAGAAGCAAACTGGATGTGCATGAACAGTCTGTTTTGCAAATTTCTCCTTTTAGTTCAGGGGCTTATCTAATTTGTGTATCATTGTCAAATATCAAAGGAAGGTTCATATAATAGAAGCAGACTTACACTGCAACACTGGACTAGGCTGCATTAACCAAACTCCACCCATAATGTAACACAAGTATGAAAACCCACTTACCTTCAACAAGTAGCATTTTTGTTGCATCTTTTTTATTCTTTAACATATCAACATTTACAAATGTAGCTCCATTACACACCTAAAAACGTAGCGCAGGTTAAGAACATAAAAGGAAATAATATTTTATAAATAGAAGTGTCAAACAAGATAGCAGACACCAGATAACTACCTCATCCATGGAATTGTCTAGAAGCTCAGCCAAAGCTGGGAAAGAAAAAAGATTCATTAGCTAGCAGACAATAAAATCTACGCTGTTCATGCTGGCTATATAAATATTATATCAAGGAATTGATATTAATACAAGTTATAGATGTATGAAAACATCGCACTGTGTACTTGAATTATCATAGTTAATAACACCTACATAAATCTAAAAAAATCTGAAAGAACATAGCAGAAAAAGCTACATATATTAAAATAATACAGAAGAGGGGCATGATAAAATTCGTGGGATACCTCCAAGAGCCCATTTGTGACTGGTAGCATTTGAATGCAGAAACTTAGGATGAACCCTCACATGATCCATGCCCACTGTCAAAACAAGACACGACTTCAGAACCCACCATTACATAAATATGAAACAAAAGCACAATGGAGAACTGCTGTACTAGGTATAGTAGGGAATATAAAACAGGAAAATTTATGACAGAAAAATACACCAAGAAGCATGTCATCAGAATTACAAAGTGCACAGAGATTCCTTACAAGTGCTACGTCAAAAAGAGTAAAAACAAGGAACTCCGTGATTGTCACACATGCCTACAGGCATAGTCGTGGGACGATTAGCTATTGATCGACCTACTCTACTCACGATCCAGCAGCTTGATAGGCACATTCCCTCGAGTTCAGGTAACGATATTTATGGTTTTTCTACTGTATGCTTTGCTGCAAGTTGTGCTTATTTTTTATAATGTCAAAGATGAAATGTGGAGAGGTCATTCGATCAGACACTGAGGCGATTAGAGTTCTATAAGAATGAGCTAGATATCATGGAGACTGTCAGGTTAATAATCGTCTGCAGTGATTCAAACACTATAATGCCATTCTGTCATAAATAACAGAGATGGATTTTTGGTTCACTTTGTAGGCCACGTGGGAGCCTAACCCGGGATGTTCTCTGTATAGGTAGGTGTCTCTATACGGCAAGCCAAGATCTCGCTCATTTGCTAAGATGCACATGACTCACTGTGTGCTTTGATAATTTCAACTGAAGGAAAATGATCAAGAGCCATGTCGGTTATCCGGATTTATCAGACGGTCAAAATCCATATCAGATAGCGAATATCAGCGATATATTGGGGATAAATAGCATTTATCGGAGTGACATTACTGGATGGTGATATACATAATATAATATTCTAAAATATAATTTAACCATACTTAATGAAATATAAACATACCAAAATATAAATAATTATATTTAGGATCACTAACCATACTTAATGAAATATAAACATACCAAAATGTAAATAATTATGTTAGGATCACTAACCAATGGTAAAAACTCAGGTCGGGTCGGGTCGGGTTTAAAGTGCATTGAATAGGTTCCCGTTGCCCAAAATCAAAACTCAAACCAATGGCCGATAATTCCGATTTTTGGGCCGACAATACCGGCCGATAACTCACTTTATCGCCGCATTATCAGCGATAAACATCCAAAAATGATAACCAATTTAGAATTGAACATATCATAGCGGAAGGCCTCCAAAACCGATAAATCGCTAATAATATCGGTTTATCGGTCGATATTAAAACAACACTAATGAAGCAGTGGAGCGCAAGAGACAAGGAAAACCATTGGAGATGGGTGAGCATGCATGTTGCATGCATAGCCAGATAAATCAAAGAGCAGACCATTTGCAGTTTTAGAAAAACCATGTGATTTCTCTAGGAGACTACATCAGATGGTATTGGAAGATCACTGGCAGCAGTGGATCTATGAACTTATCTCTAGTGTCTCCATAGGATGGTGATGATCTGAAAAGAATATGTAATGCAAAGAATGTTTTCCTACATCTCTAGTGTCTCTATAGGAGGGTGATGATCTGAAAGAATATGTAATGCAAAGAATGTTTTCCTACAAAGCTTGGTTTCTTGGAAGCATGTGGTTGTCGTACATTTGTTCACTCCCGAAAGATGAGATGTCTAAGTTCGATAGTAATTTGAAGCAATATATTTTCCTGGGATATTCACATGATGAGTTTGTGTAAAGATCATGGTATCAGAAAAATAAGAAACTGATAACTGATAAGGAGTAGAGATGTGATCTTTCTTGAGATAAACACTTGAAGATGTCGAAGATACTACTGGTTCTCAGTCTTGTTGATTTGGATCCAATTCTTTTTCTGATGGTACAGGGCAATAAACGTGTTGAAAATGATGATACTGTCAGTAATGAGGTTTCTACATCAGCTGTTACTAACGATGATGGGAGCAAGTCGCAAGATTGGTGATCTACTAGGAAGTGGCAGCCTTCAAGAGGGACTCTAGTAATGAGTATTTTATGCTCATGGATAGTGGTGAACCGGGAGGTATGATTGAGCACACCAAAGGTGAAAGCAAATATTTTACCAGGAAAGTTGTCAGCAAGGATTTAGATGACAGGTCACAATGATCACCCCTTGTGATCATCGACGGAGACATTGTTTGTTTGGTTCTACACCCATAAGTGGAATAACATTTGGTTTCTTGATGACTAGCCCAAGCGTATGACACCTTGGGTTCAAGTTGGTTAAACCACTTGAGTTAGTTTAAGACTTAAGCCATATGAGGACTGGGTTTGTTCATTCCAACTTCATCGTCATCAAGTGTATAGCCTTGGGAGACAAAGGAAGAAGAGAAATAGGAGAAACAACTAGGACTTGGAGGACCGCATCTTCGTTGATTTGTTTGTACACACCATCTTGCAACATCTTGCAATCTCCACATGCAATCTCCACAAGAATAGATTCTTTTTTAGGAGTAATTTCTATAAGTGTGCTTGAAGCTAGGAAGACAAATCTTTTCAATTTCCTATACGTTTACTTCTCGGGGCCCCAACAATTTTTGAAGCTTTGAGAGATATTGCGCGTATGGTTTCGTGAGTGTGGACTTAGATCGTGATGATTGGGCGTTGTTTATTACGCATTTAAGTTCATCCTACTTTCCTATTGATTTCAGGGGTTGGGTTCCTAATTTCTAGTTCCCAACATATATCTATATCATCGTCCACAAAAAGAATGAAAACCACATGAAAAAATTAACAAATTTTACCCGGAACCATATCCGAGCCCGCAGCGGCCGGTTGCCCATCATAATCCCCTGCCTTCCAAAACTGCTTACAGCTCCTCACAATTCGGCTTCGACGCCGGAGGAGCCACCGATATCGGCCGGGCAACCACGATTTCCAACGAATTCGCCGTCGGGAGTGGGTCGAGAATCCGAGAGGGAGGATGTCGTCCTCTAGCTTCGTTTCTTGAAAGGGATCTCGCCATCGAATCCTAGGTCTCTGACGGGCGAGTCTCCGTTCTTGGCGATGAGTCGACGGCCTCGTCGTCGGAGACGCCGGAGTCGCTGCGCTGCTGCTGAGTTTGGATGAAGGTGGCGGTGGTTTCGTGGATTTTTAGGGTTTCCTGGTTCGTGGCTGAGGCCATTGAGGGAGAAAGATGTCGTTCTTGGGGGTTTTGGATTTATTTTATTTTTATTTTATTTTTTTTTTTTTTTTGGAGGGTTTTCGTTTGGACTTCTCTTCTTCTCATGCAGGTAAGAGTAAAGAAGAGACGAGAGGGCGGCGGTTGTTGGTGGAGTCGCTGATTTACGAAGTGGGAGTTATATATGCAGTTGGATCTTCTTTTCCTTTTTTCCTTTTTTTCTTTTTTTTTTAATTATTTTTGGAACACACAGTAGTCCCAATGGTAGTAGGAATTTTATTGGTTAAAGGATTGTTCGATTATAACATTTGGCAATATCATGATTTTGATTGCATTGCCCTAATTATGGGAGTTATGATTTGATTAGAGTAGTTTTAAATTTTTAATTATAAATAGTTTTGATTTTATTTTAGTTATGGACACTTTTGATCTGATTAGGATAGTTTCAATTTGATTTTAAATATGGATATTTATGATTTGATTATGATAGTTTTAATTATGGATAGCTATAATTCGATTATTAATTATTGATAATTTTTATTTAATTGTTGATTGTTGATTATGATTGAAAAGATTAGTTTAAATTTGATTTTAGTTATGGATAGTTATGATTAGATTTTTAATTATTGACTTTATTAGTATAGTTTTGATTTGATTTTAATTATATGGATAGCTATGATTTGATCAGATGGTTTTAATTTGATGTTTAATTAGGGTACTTATAATTTAATCGGGATAGTTTTGATTTGATTTTTAGTTATCGGTAGTTATGATTTGATTAGGACAGTTTTAATCTGATGTTTAGTTATGGAGAAATATGATTTGATTAGCACTCATCCTCAAATTTCAAGACTCATCTACAAAACATATATAGAATTTTTGATAAAAATGAACAAGAGGAACATAAAAATATGATAAATATTATGGGAAATATTAAGTAAGAAAAGAGAGTGAATAAACAATCTTTCATGAGTACGAAAAGAGACGAGTATGAGATGAGAATAAACTAATATCAATGTGATTTTTAATAAGTACGAAAAAAAATATAAGTAGAATGGGATGTGAAACGTAGGTATGAAAAGTGAAAAAATATAAATGATATTTTAGATAAGTATGAGATGAGAAAAGTATCAAAAGAAATAGATATCAATGAGATTTTGGATTGGATATCCATTAGTAAGGTTCCTCTTACTGTAACATCATTATTATAGTGATATTTCTTTGATAACACTTATAATTCATAACATGATTTTGATGAAGTTTAAAAAAAAACAATTATCAAAATCACGGTATCTGTTACTATATGTATACCTTAAGTTAAAACCCTTTGCCGCAAATCCTCCCAAATGTTGACACACCATCACTTTTCTTCTCAAATAAAAACGCCACATGTTCCAAATCCTCACCATCCATCTTCCTAGAACAAAATAATTTAAATCTATAAAAAATCTAAACCATCCTTTTTAAACAACTCATTCAATCTCTCTCATATTATAAATCTCTCTAATACAATTATAATCAATCACTAGTTTTCTTTGTTTATTTTTTGCTAGGGGGTTGTTTGGTTCGCTATTATAAGGGGTGGAAAACTCAGAAAACCTCTCCACGTCAGATTTTTAGCCCTCCATGTCACGCCCCGCTTCCCAAAATACCGGGGAATCGGGACGCGAGCAAGCCCGCAACGTATTAAACTGAGAAGAGATAAGTGCTAGACCTCGTCTTCTCAATCAAATACGCTAAGCGTCAAGAAATACAAACGAAGGCACAGGTCCCCGATCACACATAGCAAGAATATAAAGAAATACGCTAAGCGTCAAGAAATACAAACGAAGGCACAGGTCCCCGATCACACATAGCAAGAATATAAAGACAACCCAGAATAAAAATAGACATATCATAAATGAATATCATCCAAGACATAATATATGGGTCAAACGTACCCTTATACATATCTGAACAAGTGAATACTGATGAGGTGCAAAGATACATCGAACCACAGAAATAGAAAGAACTACAAAAGTAAACAAGGACCAGCATATAATAAAAGAGACGACTAGACTTCGGCTTCTTCTTCTGCTCTATCTGCAAGGCACTCCTGCTGAGAATCCTCTGGCTCCTGCTGATCTCCCAGCTGGACCTGTTTGGTGCATGGCGCACAGCAAGACCCCACCCCACAAAGAAAATAGAACGACCGAAAACACGAGCGGAAAACGATACGAAAACTAAAGTAACAAAAGAACGTGCAAATGGTAATCTAACAAAATCAACATGCAATCCACATTATAATCATAAGAATCCGTAAATCATTCAGGTAACAAAAACATGCAGCTAGCGATCAGAACAATCATCCAAGCAACAAGGTTATACAATAGATGGAATTAATACTTAAAAATCTACAACAAGAGACGTAGTACGTCGAGCGAAATAATCCAAACAAGGAAACCCTCATGTATATACCATATGTCTCAAATTATAGATAATTAAATATTAATCCCGATCTATGTATGGAAGGGAGTACAACTGGTCTACATCTCACAAGAATCCATAATCACCTCTCAAGTAACAAGGTTATGTAACTAGTCATTCTATAACAGGTCACTGATACAAATCTCACATAGAGTCAACGTTCATATCATCTTATAACTGATTGTTCGCACATCATCCAAGCAAATAAACTCATGAACCAAAGTAGCGACACCGATCTACTTTGACTCAACAAACCAACCCCAGTGGCGACACCGATCCACTGGTACGAGCCTGGAAGATATATCAACAACCATATCCAATCACATGAACAAAGACTTTCCCACCCCAACTCTTCTTGATTTTCTAAGTCAACACAACACATGTCTCTAGGTCACACAAGGCCACTATGGTCATGACTGCTAATGGTTCTCGATCACAGCAAGGCAATAGTAATGTAACAATTCATGTGCAATAATATCATGACATATCATGTAATAATGATTTGTTACAGTATGTATATATATAGGTATATATGAAAATAGTAATATTATAATTCACTAGAAATTATGAAGAAGAAATCCTTCAGTCAAGTCCGACGATAGATAGATCGATGCAGAATAAAGAAATAACTACTAACTGTCGAAAAGGAAGTATACACGCTAAACGAGGAAGCGATACAAACAAAGGAAATATAGGAAATAATCATGAGTATAATGACAACATAACAAGGAATCCTACGACATCAACATGGAAGAATCTCAAGATCTAGTTCCATTGTAGATAGGTCGGCATAGGAAACGAGAAGCGACTTCGGGTTCGATTTCGAATAATTGAGCAATAGTATGAATGAAAGAGTCTAAACAAATCATTCTAGGTGTAGAGGGGCTCAAATCAGGATTGTCAATAAATCAGGACGTTAATCTCCCCTCCCTATTTTAGTGAGAACGGCGAAATCGCCTACAAGAATAAAGTCGGTTCATCTCCACAATTTGGAGGAAATCAAGGCGTATAGCCGACACAGGAATGAAACCAAATACATAGACACGAAGGCCATCCACCGCAATGATACACAGCCATAAATGAGTCAGCGAATACAATACAAGGCCATCAATAATATACAAGGCCGGCAATTAATTATACAAGACTGCAAACAATAATACGTTTCCCGGCAGCGAATTGCAAGCAAACCTGTAGAGAATTCTAGGCTAATGCATTCAAGCATAAGTATAAGGAAGCATGATAAAGATGTGATATCAGACAATAACACGAATCAAATGAGTAATCACATGAAGCATAATTACGAGTCTCAATATGACATGAACATGACTGTATGGGATAATTATGAATCGGACGTGCATGTATAGTATAATAAATTCTTTTAAAATATCTATTATTATAATTACTCAAAATAAGCCATTTATTTTTAAACTAACCTTTAAAAATAATTAACTTATTAATTCCAAAATAATCCTTTACAAAATAATTTCCTTTAAGTTATTCCTAATCTTTTAAAATCATAATCTATTTATTTAAAAGTTCTTTTACAAAATAGTTTCTTAAAATATTTTCTCATTATAATTAATTCTAAAAATATTCTTTAGAAATATTCTTTTCTTTTCTTCAAAACAACACCTCATAATTAATATTGTTCATCAAACAATCCCACGCAGATATATCACAACGTACAACATAATCATAATACAGTCTAAACATGCATATAATTAATTCGCAGATCTAAAATTGAATTGACAAGTCCAGAGATGTAGGATCTTGCCTACGAGGCCAATGGGACCTGTCGACGATGCGACGGCGCCGATGCGGGTGTTGCTGCAGGGGGTCGGACAGCAGCGATGGGTGGAGCTCAGGCGCGACGTTAGAGAGCGGAGGAGTGCTGTCTTGACGCTGGTGGTTTCGACAATTATATGACTGGCTTAATGAGATATCATCAAACGTGGAGATGCTAGCCCAAAAATTTGACATAATTAATATTGGGGTAGGTAGAATCTTATTATGGAGAAATATTCAAAATCAGAATATTTATTGATAATATTATCTGTTGGATTTAATCTAATAAATCTATTTGTGGGCACATATGATTAATCAATGTGTATTGCTATCTTTCAGGATAACCCACTAAAGTGATCAATTAAGTTGGGTTAATGGGTATTTAAATATAATCATGTGGTTATATGTGCAGATACCAGGTTATAATTGTAATTTATTGAGGGGCTAAATTACAAAAGTACAACATCTATATAAGGGGTTATGGTCCCTAACCTAGGGTTACATTCTCTAATTCTCTTCACCCCCATCTAAGAGAGAAATCCTAACCTAGGGTTACATTCTCTAATTCTCTTCACCCCCATCTAAGAGAGAAATTCGGATTTAGAGAAACCCTAAGGTTAGAAGATCCAAAACCCAAAATCAAGATCAATCTATGGATTCAGGTATAAGCTTCCGCTCGTTTGTTTTTGTTAATCTCTTTGAATTAATCATGGCTATATGGTTTTAGATCTCAAGTTTTGATTTAGATCTAACAGGCGGCGGCTCGGGTGGTTGAGGAGGCCGAGTGGGGTGCTGGGAGAGACGACCGGCGGGGATTTTGGGTGGCGACGGCGGCGAAGAGCTCGAGGCTGCAGGCGGATCTAGTGGCGCAAATCTGCCCGACGGACACGCGGGAGAGGCGCGCTCGGGAAGATGGAGGGAAGCTTGGGTCGAACTCGGATTGGTCGTCGAGGGGCGCAGCGCTGCTGTGACGGCGGCAAAGGGTGGCGGTCGCTTGGAGGGGTTCGTCCGATTTGAGGAAAGAGGAGGAGCTAGCATTTTCTTTGAGGGGGAGAAAAGAGATATAACGAAGAAGAAGGGGAGAGAGATGATGTAGAGGCGACAGCTGCGGGTTTTGAGGATGAATTAAGTGGAGTGATTGAGTGAGAGAGAGAGAGAGAGAGACGAGGGACCGTTGATGGGTTGAGTGAGAGAGGGAGAAAAAGGTAGAATGAGAGAGATTGGAGAGAGATAAAAACGCGCGAAGAATTTAGGGGGTGTTTGTTTTGCATGTAAGTGAAAGATGAAAGTGAGAAAGTTACTTTCATTTAACAATTAAGGTGTTTGTTTTCATGTAAGTGGTTATGAAAGTGAGATGCAAGAAAGTTGTCACATATGATTTAATGCAACTTTGACTTCCCCTAAAAAAGTGGTGAAGTCACATGAAAGTGACAAAAAGGTAAGTAATTTAATTAAATGATTTTAATTATATTTTCTAATTAATCTTATTTTGCCACGTCATCTTCACATTGCACTTTCGATAATAATTTAATTTTTCAAACAAACACTGTATTTTACTTGCGTGCTGACATGGATGTAAAAGTCATTTGTAAAAAAAGTAACTTACATATTTTAAATTCACTTTCAGATTGCCAAACACCCCCTTAATGAGGGAGAGAGTGCGGGATAGGGTGGTTGGGAGGACGTGGGTTGAGAGCTGGGGGAAAACACGAGGCGGAGGGGTTTGCGTGAATTGGGGAGAGGTATACAGAGTGAACACCGGTGAGAGGAAAACACAGGAAAAAATACCCCTTTAAATAATTTAAAAAATATCATAAAATTTATTTAAAATAAATATTAAAATTTATAGTCAAAATAATAATAACAATAACAAAGATGAATAATTAACTATTTATTTAAAAATTTTACCAAAACAATTAAATTTATAATTAGCAAAACTTATTAAAATAATATAATATCGTATTTTTAAATCGTAGAAAATTCTAGAGAAATTGGGAAAAATACAAATACTCTTTTAGAAAAATAATATTTAATATTTAAATACCAAAAAATTATTTAAACCCGTATTAGAAATTTACGGTCATTACACTCCACGTTAGTTTTTTTTGTTTCCGTCCATTTCTTTGTGCCGCTTTAGTTCGCTAGGATGGAAGAGGGAAAACTCTGCTGAAATCGTCGCCAGCTCAGATTTTTTTCCCTCTCCGATTTCCTTCCCCAACCGAGTGAAAATGATGAAAACTCTGCCACGTCAGATTTTTTTCCTTTTTTGTTTTGTTTACAAAAGTTTTCCTTTTTTTTCTATGCGAACCAAACACAAGAAAAATAAATACATTGGTTTCTCACCATTTTTTATGTGCGAACCAAAGCAAAACAATCTATTTCTTGGAAAAGTTTGGAACACTCAAAACTTATATTTCTTTACATGGAATTGTATTTCCCTATATCAAGGAAACGAACCAAACAACCCCTAGGTGTACGCCCCTATCTACCGTTTAGTATCTCTAAAATTTAGAAAGAAATCGAACTTTCAATATATACTGTCCTTTTTAAATAACCAATCTCAACTAATTTCTCTCTCTCCTATCATCCTCATCAATCACGTAATCTCCAAAAGTTCTATGAAATTATGCTCATAATTTCTGCTTTGATGACAAACTAACAAAAAAAATCCCAGCCCCTACAAAATAGAAATATTACCAAAAATGATTTCTGCTTTTCACTACAATCCTCTTCCATCATCCTTCAATTTAGTGAGCTTCTTGACAACCTCCCCTTTTAATTTCCATTGATTGGTCTTTTTCTCAAAATATTTTATGTAGCATACTATTTTTTCGGATCACTCCTCCATATTTTTCAATTGTCTTCCCAATACCATCAACAACTACTACATACTCACGGGTAAGAACTCTTCACGTTATTGGCTTTATTATTTTCAACATTTATGTGATAATTTCTCTTATATGGCCACCATTTTTATTTATTTGTTTTGAAATTTATTATACGATTTTAATTTTCAAAGATTCTTCGCGTTAAATATGAATTTATCCGTGAGTTTTAATAATTCTTCAAATCCTCTCGTTTATTTCCTCAATCATCGTCCAAAGGACATCACTAACCACTACATATTGACAGGTGAGAATTTTAGACTAATTTAATTTTTAATATATGGATCCAATTTGAAGCTTTCAGCTGATCTTTCACCGAAAGTAGTTAAAGCTAGAGAGTTGATGTCAAAGACTCTGTATGCAAGTGCAGTTGGAAGTTTGATGTACGTCATGATTTGTATGAGACCGAATTTCTCATAGGCAGTGAGCATAGTTTCGAGATACATGCACGACCCGGGTCCGGGTCATTGGGATGTCGTGAAATGGATTTTGAGGTATATTCGAGGTACTCTCAATGTTAGTTTAGTGTTTGAGCGGGACACTAGCAGGGGACAGCTATGTATTAGATATGTAGATTCGGATTACGCTGGAGATTTGGATAAACACCAATCTATGACGGGATATGTGTTCACTTTGACCCGTGCGCCAGTGTGTTGGAGATGCACCTTACAGTCTACAGTGACTTTGTCGACGACGGAGGCAGAGTATATGGCGATTACAGAGGCTGGTAAGGAGGTGATTTAGCTTCTAGGACTTTTGAAGAATCTTTATGTTTCGTAGCGATCCGTCACCATTTATTGTGATAGCATGAGTGTTATCTATTTGGTGAAGAATCGGGTCTTCATGCGAGGACGAAGCATATCGACGTTCGTTATCACTTCGTCCGAGATGTTCTTGAAGATGTGGATGTGAAGCTTATGAAGATTCACACAGAAGATAATCCAGTGGATATGCTCACGAATGTGGTTCCGAGCAATAAGTTCGATAATTGTAGAAACTTATTGCATATTCATAATTGTTGAGGCCTTTTGAGGCCATTTGGATGAACTACGGGCGGCTTGATCCCTTGTGAAAGAGGGTACGTAGGCAACCACATTGGTGCAATCGGATTTGGTGCTCATGTTAGTGTCAACTTAGTTTTGGGAACACTTCGTTGAGCTGGAGAATTGTAGAAAACGGCGTCGAATTGTTCAAAATATGCAAAATCAGCGTCTACAGGTTTTTCTCGGGTCAGTCGACGAACGGTATAGGATCAGTTGATCGAACGTACTGCACATTACAAGGTTTGAAAACCCTGCTATGGACGGTCGACCGATGCACTCTTATCGGTCGACCGATAGCAGATATAGGCTGGATTTTGTTCATGATCTGTTTTTTATTGGGTTTTGATATAAATAGAAACATTGTTTCCTAGGATTTAAGAGAGAGGTTTTACACTTTTACCAGAGATAATTGATTGTTTTGAGCACTCTGAGAGGAAGATTATTGTGAGGGAGTGTGGGATCATTGGTTGGGTTATTTTGAGAGTTGTTTGAGAGTTTATAACCCGTTGTTTCTCCTCCATATAATAAAATCTCCCAATCCTCTCCCCATGTACGTAGGCAATTTGTCAAACCACGTAAATTTCTGTGTTTGTGTGATTTTGGCTGTTATTTTGCAAATTGCACTCGCGTTTGATTCTTCTCTCTTGCTTACCGACTCGTTTAGATTGTGAGCACTTTTTCGCACGGCGCGCAACAGGAAGTTGGGGATATGGGGTGGGGGATGGGATGAGGAGAGCTTTATGGCATGGAAATTTAAAATTTGGACTTTTTTGCATGGAAAAAAAAAAAAAGACTCGGTCACATGAACTTTTCATTTCCGGGGTCTAGACACATATTTCCCATTATGGACTTCTCAACATCAGATAACTATAATGGATTTTCAAATAATATGATACCGTATATATTTCTGACAGCAAGTGATATATTATGGGTAAATAATTTACGATGATAATTTTTAAAAAAGAATCTCATATAATTTTTAAAAAAGAATTTCATGTTTGGGCTTTGACCCTATTAAGCTGAAGTCGTATCAGCCCATGGACAAAGCCTACAAACTGAATCCAATCCCGCTTCCTTTGCGATGTTAAAAATACAAAGGGCAATACGGTAATATCAAAGCTACTGCCTTCATATATAAACGCTGCTTGGCTTTCTTCTCCAAAACCCTAGCCCTAGCCTCAATTTCGGCCCCCTCTCGCGAGTATCAGAGGCAACTAAAAATGGTAATATTCCATCCATTTTATCACGCTTACACGTTTTTGTTTACGTTTGTACAGATTATTGCGCTCAATCAGTGATTATTCTGCGATTTTTTGATGTTTTATGATATAACTCTCATATTGTTTCCTATGTTTCTTGATGGTTGTGCTTATAGTAGTTAATTTTTTTAATTTATATATGCTTCATAGTCATTTTCTGTAGATTTTAGCGATTAGGAATGAGTTTTGATCTCTTAAAGCAATTTATACATTATTTGCGTAGAATTATCTTTCTTAAGTTTAATCATTTTGTTCTTCAGAAGTTTAAAATTGCTGTGATGAGATTAGACTTGTTTATGTATTTCAGATTTTTGTAATGGTCGGAAACTGTTTTCAGCAAATTTTATTCATCACATTGCAAGCTTTACTAGCTTGAAATAGTGTTTCCTCTACTTGGTGCATATTTTTTATGGGAGATTTGGTCCCTACGTGCTGAAGACGCGACGCCCATCTGGGGTTTTCTGTAATATATTTTCAAGGGTTTAGTTTTTTTTATATTATATATTTGGTATTTATAGATGATCAAGTGCATAATACCCATTATGTTTTTGGTCGCAAAATACATAGAAGTGATTTGCTTGTACTTTGTAATCTTGCAGGCTCCCAAGAAGATTGTGAAGGGAGGCCCCGCAGCCAAGAAGAAACCGGTAAATGTTTTTCCTTTTGGTTAAAGTTTTTTGCAGTTTAGTGTTACGGTTTTTGAATAAAATTGGTATTTTCTATTCTATCTCCAGGAGAAGGTTGTAAACCCTTTGTTTGAGAAGAGGCCAAAGCAATTTGGGATTGGAGGGGCTTTGCCACCAAAGAGGGATCTCCATAGGTTTGTGAAGTGGCCGAAGGTTGTCCGCATTCAGAGGCAGAGGAGAATCCTCAAGCAGCGTTTGAAGGTTCCTCCAGCTTTGAACCAGTTTACTAAGACCCTGGACAAGAATTTGGGTAAGTTCTTTAATTAGTAACAGTATCGTATTTTTAGAACTCCTTGTATCACTTTACTAACTGTAAACTGATGATTATATGTATATTACATAGCATGCTGTGCATTGCCTAGTGTTATATTTCATGAAGTGTTAGTTCTACTTGCTAGCTGATCTTATTGTGCAGTTTCATCTTTAAGTTCTTGAACTTGAGTAATCATTGATGTGTGCTCACTTCTTTTTGGTCATAGTTTTTAATCCTGTCATTTCTTGTTAATAAGCTAGCATAGTGTTTATCTCCACTATGGATCCATAACATATTACTTGTTGAGATGATCGAACTTCCTAAAGTCTCTCTTATGTATGTTTGTAAATTTCTACTTAGGAATGACGGGTGTATGTGTGTAGATGAGTTTTCTACCTGGGATGGCATTGAATTCTATTCAGACCTTCTTTTAGTTGCTTTGATTGGTAGTTCGATCATGGACACTGTCACAATTATGCAAGTGCCTCTCTTGTCGACCGCTGTCTATGATAGTTTTACCCTCCAAAAATGCTGCAGTTAGTAGCTTACAGCACAATAATACAGTTCTTCCTATTTTTTTATGTGCAGCACACTTTTTATGCTTAAATGTAGAAAAAACGATTGCCTTAATACAAGTATGACAGATATCCTTGTAGACATTGTGTATTGTGATGTTAAGTAAAGATTTCTACGTTACTTTATTCATTTTATTTTTCTATGTGGATCTAAAGTCTAACGAGTTCATAACTGTCTTCCTGTGGTATCTTGTAGTAGCCCATCTTTGGTTGGCCCACCATTTAGCCTTGTCAGTTGCTCTCGTAATTAATATTTCCATAAAAGAGTTGTCGCAATTGTTCTGTAAATCTGCACTGCATCGCTGAATCTATGGTCCATCAAAAATTAAGCTTTACTGCCCGTCTTTAATTTGGAATTTCTTTTTGACCTATTTTTCTACAAGGGCTACATATTTCATCAGCGATTGATTATCTTTTCCTTTCACAGCTACGAGCCTATTCAAAATGCTCCTCAAATACAGGCCCGAGGACAAAGCTGCAAAGAAAGAACGACTTTTGAAGAGGGCCCAGGCTGAGTCTGAAGGCAAAACTGTTGAGGCTAAGAAGCCCATTGTTGTGAAGTATGGGCTTAATCATGTGACTTACTTGATTGAACAGGTTTCAGTCTCTTACCATTTTGATCTCTGTTGTACAATATGTTTATTTCGTCAACTTTGTTAGTATTTGATATCCAATTTTTTGATTACAAGACGTAGTAAATGGTAACTAACTTTAGTCTATTTTGAGTGGTGAATCAGTAAGCTATTTCAGTACATCCGATCTGGTTATTGCATGCATTATTCTGTGGTAAATGCTGAATAAATTATCATTGGATATGAATTATAAACATAATATTCATTTGCTAGTGTGGTATAAATGTGCCCTATTAGCTGTACATCAGGATTTGGTAGATAGCGTAACAGTCTCCTTTTGGGTCATCCCATATGCTATGGTGAAAGGTAATTAGTGGTAGGTAGTATTGCTGATCCCTACGTGATAAAAACTCTTTATTATCGATAGCACATTTTAATTAGTAATTTTCTTGCTTATGGTCTTTGGTATCTCTTTTATTCCCCTATATAAATCAGGTTTATCTTGGAAGTGTGGCAATTAATGAAAATAAATACTGGTGGGAAAAATAAAGCAATGGTTGATAGTTCTTTTCGGGTGGTTGCCGAGTTTTGCAAATGGAGTATAATTGAAGATATCAATGGCTTACCAATATATCTTTTTTAACTTGTTGGATTTGAGTTGATATTTAGAGCTGAATACTCCTATATCAATGGCTGACCGATATATCATTTTTCACTTTCTGGCCTCTGCTTATGTGTGTCCTTTGTGTTTCGTTTGCAGAACAAAGCACAACTTGTGGTCATTGCACACGATGTAGACCCAATTGAGCTAGTGGTTTGGCTCCCTGCCCTGTGCAGAAAGATGGAAATCCCATACTGCATTGTCAAAGGAAAAGCGCGTTTGGGATCGGTAGATTTCTTCATCTATTATCTCGTTTTAACCTTGTTAGAAATAAGTGCTGCCTGATTGCTGATCTCTCTTTCCCCCCATGTGTGATAGATTGTACACAAGAAAACAGCATCAGTGTTGTGCTTGACCACCGTGAAGAATGAGGATAAGTTGGAGTTCAGCAAAATCTTGGAAGCTATCAAGGTGAGCAAACTGAAGATTTAAACTAATTTTTATATATTCCTTTTTCGGTGTCTCTTGATCTGCTGATGATTGCTTCATTTACTTTAATATAGGCAAATTTCAATGACAAATTTGATGAGATCCGTAAGAAGTGGGGTGGAGGAATCATGGGTTCCAAGTCTCAGGCCAAAACCAAGGCTAGGGAGAGGCTCGTAGCCAAGGAAGCTGCTCAAAGGATGACTTAAGCTTGGTTCTTGAAATTTTGAGTAAATTTATCGGATTTTGTTGTTAGCCTTATATTTCTTGAAGAACTTTTCTTGATTAACATTTTCCAGCTTGTGGTCGAGTAGTGAAACATTTTGTTCCTGTCCTGGACTTTTAGCTGTAGCTACTGTGTTGCTAGTTATGTTGTTACAATCTTACTGCCTTGCTTTTCTGTGATGCTGCTGTTACTGTATGCGATTACTTGTTGGAATCAAGATTGTGCTTGGCTGTGATGCGTTGCTACTACCCTCCATTCTCTATAGCTCTGAAGAAGCCAAACATGACAATTCTTTGTTATGTAGATAATTTCCATTGTTCAATTCAAAATTTCTTTGGTTCTGGTGTGAAGGAATTAACGGTGAATAGTTTTGACATGGAGACTAACTGTTAAGCATGCTCCAAGGTAAATGTTTAAACGTGTTCAGCGTTGAAAGGTATTGTATTATTCTCTCGACTAGTGTGTACATCATGCAAAGCACGGCCTCGTGTTTTTTTTAAGCATTGCATTTTGAACATGTCTCCTTTTAAAGCTTAATACATTTTATTTGATTATTGAATGCATAAAATTAAAAATTATATTTACCTTTCAATACTTAAAGGGGTACTGTTTATAATATAATAAAACACTATAGCATAAATAGTAAATTTACACCACAATCCAAAATTTTACTGTTTATGTTATAGTAATTTACTGTAGTATGAACAGTAAATTTTTAGCTTGTTGCATAGAGTAGTTGATTGGACTTGAGAGCTTTAAGGCTGCATTTCCTTGTGATAATCGTAGAGGCTAAAAACAAGGAGATGGTTTACAATGTCCCAACGACTGATGAACATAAATGATGCCGTTGTGCTCAGATTTGATATTGCTTAATTAGTATCTAGTTTGTTTTGAAATGATACGTTGGATACTTGGAAGATTTTGCTTGCACTAAATAAGATGTATGATCAAGTGTAGCGCAGAACCTTAGATATGATACTTTGAGTTAGGGAATTTTAGGGAATTTTTTGCACATGCATTATAAACTATGTGTGCTTTTCATTTTAGAGTTAATGCGTGTGCTTTTTATTTCTTCAGCCTTCTTTTTTGCACGTTTTGACTCAGTAATTAGCAACGTGAGTAACGGCTGGAGATCATGCGGGGAGTTACGCGAATTATCAGAAACATGTGCTAATTTTAAGCAATGGCTCTCAAGGTTCCGACCTCTATATAAACAACCCTCTCATTCTCAAAATTCACACAGCGAACAAGCTTCTTTCTTCTCTCTAATCTCTTCTACCTATGAAAATTCTTCGTTACAGTTTACATTCTTATTTCGGGCAACCGTTTTCATCTGAGCAAAAGCTTTGCACTATTGCCCGAGTTCAGAAGCCGGCCGATTCCGGTGGGTTTTACCGCTAGGGGAGAGGGGATCATCTGCGCCAGGGCGATAGGCATGTTCTTAATCTTCTAGCGCAGTGTTTACACGACTGTTCCCGATCATACCAGACTTTCTTATTTCTTTTATTTCGTATTTTGCATAACTTTTATTTGATTTTATCTAACAATCTTACAATCTAGAAGATTAAGGTATAGTTGTTTAAGAATGATACTGAAATTACTGTTTATTTAAAAATTCCGGAAGTACTATTCATAAAAAAACTTTAATTTGTTTTCCACGTACTCATTCGTAAAATATTGAAGTTACTGTTCATTAGAATAAGATTTTACTATCCATTAAAAATTACTGTTCATCCGAAAAAAAACTTAATGTTCACAGTGTGGGGTGGTGGGGTGGGGGGATGCTAATTGCTTATCTACTAATTAATATTATTGTTAAAGAAAAAAGTTATTGTTCACTCGGGAAACAATTTCATGCTAATTGCTTATCTGCTAATTAATATTATTGTTAAAGAAAAAAGTTATTGTTCACTCGGGAAACAATTTCATACGAATTTATAATTACAGTAATTAATTGTTGTTGTTGATTATTGCTTAAATAATTATTGTTAATTGTTTTATTCGTAATTAATTGTTAACTTATTATAAATTTTTTCGAAATAAATTACTTGATTTTATGTTCTTGTTAGGAAATTAATTGAAAGAGAATATATATATATATATATATATATATATATATATATATATATATATATATATATTATTGTTAATTGTTTTATTCGTAATTAATTGTTAACTTATTATAAATTTTTTCGAAATAAATTACTTGATTTTATGTTCTTGTTAGGAAATTAATTGAAAGAGAATAT